GTAAATTCATTCGTCACGACACACTGTTAGATTCGTGCTTTTTAAAAACCTAAAAAATAAAATTACCCTCATTCTGCAGTCCGATCAGACACTTATCATTTATGATTAAAATGTCTAATTAACAATCTTTAATTTCGAGTAATGCGACAAATTGGGCGCGACGAATTGGAATGTAACGATATTAGGGCGGACAGGAGGAACAAAAAATTGCGCTGTATCGACAAATTCGGTAAACCCAAATCGACTCGTAAATGCAAATATCCGTCTCACCCGTCACAGCAACAACAGGAATACAAACGGAATTTTTTCACCTCTCGTGGGGCCGCCATTCGAACGGCGCGGCGGCGAGCCAACAAAAAAATTGCCGTGCGCGCGTCAGCGCAAAAATCTGTTCCGTATGTCGAAAAAAGTTGTACCATCAAGGTACCGAAATAAAAAAAATAAACTGTAATAATCGACTCGCGATATGAAATTTCCTCTCCGTCCGTACGGCGCGATAACAGAGGGGCGTGCGCGGATGAAATTTTCGGCTGAATTTTTCAACTGATCGACGGAAACCGAGCTGGCGAATTTACATCGCGCGCAAATGTGCCGCGTGAAACGGGGTTAATCTGATTATGGATTCTCTCGCGATGCCCGGTGCAAGGAGCGAGCTCGTTTTGCCAGCGGGAAAATCGCCGGTATTCTTAATTGAGGCCACAGGGCAGAGGGGCTCGCGAGGCAAAGCTTGCAGCAAATTTGATGCTGACGGGACGATCCATCTGACGGTGCTGGCAATTAGCGTAACGCAATTTCGCCGCACGACGCAGCCTTCGATCCGCGGCGCGACACGATCGCGGATACACCCAGCCCTGTAATCGAATCGCTCGCGTTGCGTCCGCCGCAGCGGAGAATCAACGCCATAAACTAATGCCGCCTGTGCCGGAGACGGCCAATGTGATTATCCTCGGTTCTGTAACCGGAAGGCGAGAGCCGTCGAGAATCCGATTAGAGCGCTCTAAGCATGATCCGTTGGGAACAGGTGTCTTCGAGCGTGATGATTTATAAATGACGGCAAAACGGCCGAACGAAGGGCTCCGTTATTTGGCAAGCGAAACGGCTTATGCGATGCAACCCTCGGGGATGATCGAGGGTGTAATACCTACTCAGACAATACGGACAGTCCCGAACACTTTCAAACAGGAAAGTTACTTAAACGGTTTTATATAGTATAGTTAATTATCACTTTGCTCTTTACATCCCAAAAAGCCCCGAGTGACTCTACATGGGTCGCCGGAGACCCAGTCAACCTTTCAGTTTTTATGTCTCGGCTGAGAATTAACGAAATTTCCTCTTTTCTAATTTTGAAGTTCAAAGTCTTAGAAATTTAGGCCCGGTTTCACTAACGTTGTCAAACTTTAAGCTTAGCTTAATTCGCTCTTTGTCTCTTTCCAACTGTTACTTTAGAAAGAAATGAATATAAATTAAACTGAGATTGAAGTTAAGCGACGTTTGGTGAAACCAGGCCTTAATGATAAATGTGTTACGAAAATAGCACGTACGTAGATACGGCGCCAAGTTTGAATCGACTGGATCGTACAAGACTCATACAGAGCACAAAGGGTTAAAAATTAATAACTGTTATACATAATATTATTATTTAAAAACGAATAAATCTTGATTATCCAAATCTGACGCGCGGTTTTTCGACTCTGATTTCCTATAAAAAATAAATATCAGAATAAAATGCAACATTCTCGACACGTGACATACATATCGAGGGGCAGCAGTCTGCTGGAATCGCTGCCGAACGAACATACGGCGCGAATAATCTCAAGGCGAAAGAGAGAGAGAGAGAGAGAAAGAGCATTGCAGGTTCCTCGTCCCAACGTGGGATTCGAGTATGATACAAGATTACACGAGCTCCGGAAGCGCGGGGGGCAACGTCGGAGATCGAAGTCGAATCGTCTCGTCGACTTCGGCAATGCGCAACGACCCAGATTTTCGCTCTCAGTATAACCAACGTCGCTCAAAATTGGTAAAAATCGCCAAGCGGCAAGTGACGGAATTCGAAAGACGTTACCACTTCGTCGTTGTCGTCGACGTTGTCGTTTATAAGCTTCGCGATCAGCGCGACGTCAAAGGCGCCTCCGGTGAGGAGGAAAAAGACACACGCCTCGCGAGAGCACGAGGGCATTTCTGAACTTCCGTCGCATTTGTCGCTCACGTAATGGTCGTCCTCGCCGAAGTTTCATACAGACGCGTTTCTCGCTTTTTCACGGGATTTACATGTTGTTACGTTCACACTTTCGTCGCGCTATCTTTGCCTTCGCAATCCGCAGCGCGAGGTTTTCCTCCTGCGCGAAATTGAAATTTCCACAGTGCGGATGTAAACGTCGCTCCTGCTGGCATTCTATTTACATATATTTGTTACGTAAAGAGTTGGATATAAATAAACGTAGGATCTTTGCTTCAATTTATCTAGATTTCGAAATAGAGAGAGATGCTCTTCATAGCGTTCAATTTCGTATATAAATAAACATTGTGCTGCAAGGGAGCGAATATACCTGTCAATTTACCGCTCACTTTTTGTAATGAGGCTCCACATACATTACATTTCCAACAATTTACTCACAATCAGCCAGAATTACATTAAAGTAAATCTGATAAGATTAAACGTTTCCTGCAAATAACAGCTTTCAAACTCGTTTATTGTATCGATTGTTAGTATTAATAATTTACGACATAAATCGTAAGATTGAGAAAATGGTTGAACATACAAGCTAAATTGATGTAATATTTCTCTAATGATAAAACCAATAGCTAGTAGTTTTGAAAGATTTCCTAATGATATCTAAACGGACATTATTTTTTAACGGTCGTATAACACTTGATTTTTACTTATTCGCGATGCTTTAAGCTGGCGCCACACTACACACGATTCGTGATTCGTATATTCGTGAATAGTGTGGAGGAAAAATTCGTCGATTCACCGTGCGCAATTCGCCATGATTCGCTAGCTGAGCGGTTTTTTTTACAAAAATAGTAGGTTTTGTACTAATATTAAAACTTGACTAATTTTGTAGGCTTGTGATACAAGTTCTGTGATAACAGGTAAAGGTTAAAAGTTATCCAAATTAACACGAACGAAACGACAAATAACAAATTACGAATGATAAACTGCGAATCACGAATAGTGTGGTAGGTAATAACGAATGTCCAACGAATTTCTGCGAGTTCACGAATCGCACATTACGAACTGCGCATAGTGTGGCGCTAGCTTTACTCGAATCCGTACGAATCCATATTACGTATAAGTTGCAAGGCTTAGTTTGATACCTTTTAATATAGTATTCGTCGATTGAGCCCAACAAGTGGTGTCATCAAGGATTGATGAAGGAAGGGGGGGAGGGGGCCACGGATAATTAACCGACAAACTGGGTCACACTCTGAACGGTTGCCGGAAAGAAGGGGGTCTTCGATAAACCGCGGGCGGCCGAAATTTTCAAATCTTAATTGCGGTGAAATGGTGTGTAATGACGTGAAATATTGCCCTGAGAAAGATGCTGACTCTTATTACGGCCGAGCGGGCTCCGAACCTTTTAATCTGAAGCCTCCTGGCCCCGGTGCCTGCAAGAAAATGCTGACCCGCCAGTTCCACTGCCAATCTGTTACGGTCGCGAGAGAGTATTTTCGCGTGCACCCTTTTTTTTATCCTCCTTCGCGTTTTCCTTGGCCGCCGCCGCCGCCGCCGCCGCCACCTTATAACATCATCATTTCCCGGCACGAATTTTCACGCGCGGCTTTTCGTGTATTTTTGTTGCAAGACGCAGGTCGTTAACGTCTGAAAAATCGGTGACAATTCCTGCAAAATGAAGAAAAGAAATATCGCCGGAAGTCAGTTAATTAAATCTCACCAAATGACATCAACGCCCCGCGCGCAGTTCTCTTCTATCTTTTATCTGATAAATGTTTTACTCGAAATTTCGATATTCTTAAAATGAGATTCGAGAATCATTTAAAGGGTTCCGTTATAGATTTTTTTCATTTTTATGTAGTAACACAAGATGGCTTTTATACGTGATAATATTCATATAACAGACATTAATAAATTAGATACGCGATGAGGAATTTACTTTTTTCGAAGGTGAGAGAGAAGGCAGAAAATTCGCACGTTATCTTTGCTCGCGGAATTTTCGCGGAGGTAACGGAACCCGGCTCGTTGCCAATTAAGCGCAGACGACTCGTTAGCGAGGGAGCGACTCTCGCGGCTTTATTTTAATCTCAAACAATCAAAAGCTTCGACAGCGTCGACTGCATTTTATTATCTCGCGTGATATTTTGTTTTGCGTCGCACAGTCGGCGCATTTACACACTCGTTGGTTAACGTCCTTATTTATTCGCTCGTCATAATTATAACGCCCTTGCGTCGTGTTTAATGGGACGAATTTCCCAGTGAAATGTCGCGCCTACGCGCGGTGCATCGTTCCGAAAATTCAATTTCCAGCGAATATACAAACGGTAACATCCGCAGGCCCCACTTGACGCATTAATTCGAAAATCACGGATGGCCGATCAACCCTGACACGCGAATTGACCGCGACGCGGACTATCCTTTTTTTATAATAAATCGCGACAATGGAATCTGTACGATTCAAAAGCGTTGCTGGGCTAAAAAAAAGGCTCCATAGATGTCAAATTTCATAAAAATTATACTAGATGATAGGATGAAGTGAGATCAATTTTTCGTGGAATTACAGAAATTTTCAATCCAAGTAATTGTGACATCACAAAATGATTTTATAATGTCATTAATATTTATTATCGCTTGATCATCTTTAGACGTCTATAAAAGAAGTCATTATTACATGACAAATTCATTAATCAATCATTGAAGCAGTCGCAAATAGAAGTGCTGTCTAACACTTGGTATAATTACACAACGCATAGATTATCTTTTTTTTTTATGAATATGCTTCGACGGCACAGTTGTTTTCACTGATTCTGCCGCAATCATTGGCCTCGATGTTCCGAAAGACGCGTGGTGCACGCTGCAGAATCGTAGGTGGACGTGAAGGGGCGCAGGCGCCGTGCCCAAAAGCGATAGTCAGTCGTCGGCGGAAGCTGAAACGCGCGGCTTCGGGGTCGCCGCAAATGCAAACGTGTGGCGTAGCCTACGGCGTGATAACGCCGACGCAGGTGTATACATTTTGCACGCGCCAATTATCGACGAGGACCGGCGTGTCGAGCTCGCGGTAACGATCCGGCCGCGCGAAGAGACGGACAATGGCCCGAGAACGTTTTTTCGGTCGCGCAGTGCTTCGTAGATAAGAAGACCAGAATCCAGAATATAAAAAACAAAGAATCTGCAACGGAATGCCACGCATTGAAGTGAGTACTGTGCCAGACGCTTATGTGATCTCTCTTGCATACTTGAAACCACCGGGTTAATCTGCGCTACTCTGCAGTCGCTAGTAATTCAATCGGCCAGAAAAAATTACAAATGATTTTTAAAAGTGTCCTTGAACGACACAAAATAGTTCTCTGGTATTGACAAATTCCAGATTAACTTAACACAATATATCTTATACAGTCTTCGTGTTATAAAAATGAATAATACAATAAGATCTGATTTTTCCCGATATTTTTTCGACGTACTTTTTCGTTCCGAATAACGTTATATTTAATATTTTAATGAAACGCAATATATCTATTGCTAACAGCGGCTTTACGTGCGTATGCACGGGTGTATGTGCCTGCGCCGCACACGTGATGAACTGCTCCGTATTAGTATACATAGCACTGACCTGTAAACGGCCGGATAGAAATCACGAAACACGATGAGGATAGTACTAAACGAGTGTAAAGCTTTATCAATTTAATCGACAATCGATGGCAATGTTTTATTTAATAGCATTCGCGCGATATTAATTTCCCAAACGTATATAAATCCCCCGCTTTTCTGACGACCACGAGAATCTTCGTGACCCATAAATTTGTTAAAATCGATAAGTCCAGTGCGGTAAAATTCGTCTATGCAAGAAACATGCCTGGCAATGCTCTAATGAAACGACACCTTTTATATAACCATGCACATTGTAAATTGAATTTTACCTCACATTAATTTGGACATATCAAATTATTAAAGATTACAACGCGATTTGGGTTAGATAGCCATTTGATTTGCCAGCTGTAATCTCGTCTTTTATTCGCGTTCATTATTTATTACCCTTTCATTTTACTTTCATTACTTTATCATTGCGGTCAATACATTTTTTATTATTAGCATTATTGTTTCAAATCTCACTGTGATATTTAATTTCGTCGTGTTGAAATGTTCTAGTTAGTGTCGCGCAGGAAATATAATACCGTCGAAGTTTACAATTTAGATAAAGATCGCGGCATCGACCTTTATACCTGATGTTGCATAATGTCGCCGCGGGTGTCGACCATATCTAGAATCTAATCAGTTCATCCGATTTCCGGGCGTATGAATTGCGGGAGCGGTAACTACTGCTCGCTGTGAAATACGTCTGACCACGGACGCCGTAACTACTGGCCGGCATAACTCGAGATAAATCTTCTCTTCTCAAGGCAGTTTATTTTCTGCCGGTGAAATCCACAGATCCGAGCATTCCTATCAATCCGCATATATAAACGCATACTGCGCTGCAGATATTATTTAACAGGAAGTACGAATGCGGGATTTCTCCGAATTTAATGTGCAAATTTGTGATATATGGATATTAAAGCATCCTTATTATAAATTTTTAATACAGTAATTATGAAAGATTCCAATACTATTATGATTAATTATTTTCTGCTAACATTTTTATTAAAATAAATCTCATGTATATTAAAACTTTATTAACATATATAGTTTTTCTATCATTAATACAGTAAAGTGTAGAAGGAAAGAGAG